CCCCCCCCCCCCCCCCCCCCCCCCCAACTCCCATCTTCCCTGTTCCTCACATCGCCATTCTACGTGGCATACCAAAATCGTCTCAATTCACCCCCAAAAACCAGCCAATCCGCATTTTAGTTGATGTTATCAGCACAGGGTGATGGCTAATTGAAAAACTGGTCGCACTTACCGAGGTAACTACGAAATGCCGTTTTGGCCAGCACATCGGCTACCTGATGCATGTCAGTACAACGCTGCACTTGCGCATTCTTGGCCAGCAAGTCATCTGCTAATCTCAGGCCGATATTGTAACCCATTTTATCCAACTGTCTGTTCACCTGTAACAACGGAAAACTGAGCGCACAACATCAGCAAAAGTACGCAACCTATCCGGAAAAAGCAACCTCCAAGGGGTTTTCCAAGTCGCGCAACAACTCGGCCACCAACGCACCATAACTCAACGTGAACAGCTCGCCACTGATCTGAAAAATAATGCTTATCGGATTTTACACGACTCCAGATTCCTTGCACATCTGATTCTATCGATGATGGCAAGAACAGCTGCAAGAGGAACCTGCTGCTTATACTTCAGGTACAGCGAATGCGGAATATTCAATATATCGTTTTTAGAAAATTAAAAGAGTAAGGGAACGAATGCCAGAAGCACCAGCAAGTGATCAGCTTCGATCATAGCAAACACTGAAAGACTGCCAGCGACTTCGGAGGTTTACTACAGTGAAACAGCATCCTAATTAGTACCAAGGCCAATCAGACTGAATAGCAGGATCTCCTAGACAGTCGGAGCGGGGAGCCCATTTCCATGGAATGCTCCCACGCACAGAGAGTAGCTATTCCAGATCCTTCAATCCAGAGTTACACCCGACGAAACAAAACTGACCCAATTACTATAATACCAAGACTGCTCGGGCCATCCTGCGTGGGTATCTCCTGTCAGTGATATACTAGATATACTAGAATGTTTACAAATACTAGAATGTTTACAAATGCCGAGCACAGCTCTGCCAGGACTTTAAATACTGAGCTGTAAACCTCCAATCAACATGTTATGTATATAAGCTATCCTTCAACTGCCGTACGACTATACGAATAAAAAGGAACCAAATGTGTAGGAAAAGAAATAAATAGCAACATGCACCAAACTAGCCGATCCGATCATGCGTTTTGCGCAGTTCCGTCCAGCGGACGTTTGCTTACTATATAACTGTTTTACACTTCGTATGTGAAAAAACAATAGATATGCTGCCTGGCTCCTAAAGAGAAATTCCCCATTGAAAATTTCACGTGCCGGTACATGAAAGCTGAATTTGAAAACATGGATGGGGAACATCCCTCCAAATTTCAACGCTGTAGTTTTTCGGTTTTCGAGCTTTCGACTTTCACATCACAATTCTCATATGGTCTTAAGTAAGAGCTAAATTTAGGAGCTAAACTTGGGAGCTAAATTTAAATTTGTGGGATACCTGCAGCTGCAGAAAATATCGTCCTGAAATTTCAGCTTTCTAGCTTTAACGATTTCCCAGATAATTTCCCGCAACACCTTCACGGGGCCGAACGCGATACCCAAGCGCACGGGAAAACTGGGTTTAAATTTTCTGGGTTGCACGTGATCAAGGGGCATACCTATAAAATTTGAGTTCCCTAGCCTCCGCGATTCCAGAGATAATGATTTTACTCGCCAAAAATTTTACAAGGCCGTACGTATTACCTGCGGATACAGGAGGGTTGAATTTGAGTTTTCTGGGTCAGGGGACATACCCATAAAATTTCAGCTCCCTAGCTTCCGTGGTTCCCGAGATACTGATTTTACCCGAAAAACTTTTTCGGGGCCGTACGTGTTACCCGTGAGTACGGGAAGGCTGAATTTAAATTTGCCGCGTGACCCGTTGGCAGGGTACACTATACTAAAATTTCAGCCGCCTAGCTTTTGTGGTTCCCGAGTTGAAAGTGCGGGACAAAATC